CCAGTAATCAGACCCCAGCCCAGCACTTTCTGGGACCTTCTATCCAATGCTGAAGTTTTGACATTCTCTAAAGCCGACTTCCTGCTGTCACTGAGGTCTGTCCCAGCCCTCATTATGCAAACTTCTGTGAGGCCATAGCCTCTCGTCCCTTTCTCAGGGCAGTTATAGGACCAACACCCCCTAAGCAACATCTGACCTTGTAGGGTTTTTCTTGGCTTGGGAAGGACTGCCTCAAAGTCATCTCATCCCCCGCCGCCTGCAGGGCAGGTGAGAGATTCCTACTTGGCAGATGAGGAAAGGGCTTCAGCAATATTGGGAGACTGGCTCCAGGTCCCCCTGCTGCCTGGGGGTGCAGAGCTGGACACCGTGTCAGGAGGCCTGGAGCCACAGTCTGGGATGCCTGGCTGAGACCCATTTCCTTGGCCTATCCCCAGGGTGTGGGAATGGGTCACCCCCTCCCCTGTCACCTTGGCTTCAGCCAGCCTGGGGCAGGACAGGGCTGGAGGACAAGGGAGGAGGAGAGACCTGGTCTTGGAGCTAGTATGGCACAAATGGGTACCGGAGGAAGCCAGCAGCCAGGCAGCTGACCCAGGGTTGCACAAAGGCCACAGGAGGACATTGTGCCTGCATTGACATCACCAGCGCCCTGGAGGAACAAGCAAAGTTCTCTGGCTCTCACGATGACAGGCGTGGGGGCTGGGAGGAGCCAGGGGCCCCTGCTGCCACCTCCATGTGTCCCTCCCAGCTACTGGACTGGAAACAAAGCCAAGTCAACAGTTCCTCGAATTGTGTTCCAGCCAGACTGCCCTGCCGGCCCAGAGCTAATAATATTGGCAGATGTAGGTCACACATCTTGCAACTCGATCCTCTGGGCTTGGGTCCCACCTCACCATGTGAGCTTCAGGCGGGCAGTGTAGGATGGGTACAGGCTGAGCTCAGGGTCCTGGGATCCTGGTGCGGCTAGGTCTGGACAGACCCAGGGGTGGCCTAGGTCAGGATAGTGGCCCAGAACGTGGGCAGCCCTTGACACATATAAACTCCGTGGTTGACAGGCTGACAGCCTTAAGGACTGACCCGGGGAGGTCTGTGGGATGATGACAACCATTATTATAAAATTTTTACAAATCATAAAAGTGAAAAGTGCTTTCAGTTGTGGATGAGGGTGGAACCTGGATCTCCATCCTTTGTGCTCAGTGCTTCAGTGCCAAGAAGGGACCAGAGGGAGTTGAGGTCTGTGGGATCCCTGAACCCCAGTGGCAGCCGGGCATGGCCTTAGTGTGCAGCCTGAGAACCGCAGACACCATTGTCGCCTGTGTGGCGTTGCGCTGGTGATGGGGGTTATCTGACGTACATGGCTGGCAGCAAAATTTGATGTCCAGGATGCCATCCTCAGTATGCTAGGCCATGTGTTGGCAGCCAGTAGGTGGCAAATCCTGCAGGTGACCCTAAGGCTCTTGGCCAGGGTAGCACTGGGCAGCCTGACTTCCGAGATGTGTGGTGCCTCCTAGCACAGGACTGAATGCTAGAGGTAGCTTCCTCTTCTGCCCTTTCTGTGACTCCTTCCTTGACCACTGTTCGTGATTCTCATATTGGCCCCTGGTGTACCCATGCTTTCTTAGCAACAGTTTTTGTTTGCTATTTTGGTACCAGGGATTGAACCCAGGGGTGCTTAACCACTGAGCTACATCTCCAGCCCCTCGCATTTTAAATTCTGAGACAGGATCTCGCTAACTTGTTCAGGGCCTTGCTAAGTTGCTGAGGCTGGCTTTGAACTTGTGATCTTCCTGCTTCAGCCTCCCAGGCTGCTGGGATTACAGGCGTGCAACACGGCGCCCTGCTGCAATAGGAGTTGTGAGACACTTTCCATCCACCTCTGCGGGAAAATGAAAAGACTCTGCTCACCGTTTGTCCCATGACACTGGTTACCTCCCTCCAGCTGTCCCTTCAACCCCAACAGGTGCACCTTGGTCTGATGGCCCTAGGTCTGAGTGAGCCCTCCTGGCTCTGGTCCAGTGTACAGAAACAGTCCTCAGGGACTGGCAGAGTCACTGAGGTTGAGAAAACTGCAGGGACAGCCACCAGTGGCCATTCAGAGAAGTGTACTGGAGCCCAGAGGCCCCTTCTGTCTTCCATCTTGTTCCTCCCTCAGCCTCCTTCCTGGAGGCCCCACTGCATCCAGGCCCTGGGCTCAGCCCTGAACCAGACGGACACGACAGGCCTCGGTCTCTGCAGAGGGGAAGGCGCAGTGAACTGCACAAATTCCTCCAGAGCCACCTGTGAGAGGGCCCTAGAGGGCGGCCCTGAAGGTGACAGGACTTAGCTGTGCACTGCACTGGGCAGCAGGATGCTGGTGGAGGGGCAGCGTGGAGCTGGAGGGAAAAAGGGAGAGGAGTCAGAGCAGAGGCTCTGAAGGTCATGTGCAGCTGGAAAAGGACCTTGCTCGGGGTGACACCGTTAGGGGGCGTAGTTTGGGTGGCTGTGTCAACAAGGGGGAATGGGGCCTGCCCGAGCAGGCTTCTTCTCTCTGGCATGATAGGCCCACCTGTAAACGGAGGTTGCTGGCATCCTGTGCGGCATCCTGTGCGGCTCAGGCACAGGATGCCAGCATCTGTCTCTCGGCCCCATCTGCGTCCATCGGGAAGATGAGAAAATCCAGGTAAGGTAGTGGACTGCACCCGAGTCCCCCGAGGCTTCCCCTTACCACTTCACTGGGGAACTGCTACCCTGGCCTCCCAGAGGACAGCCCAGGCAGAGTCTGAGCTGCGACAGGCCGTCCTGTCCTCCCTGGGGACAGTATAAGCCAAGGTGGTGGAAGAGGGGAGGGAGGACAAGGGTGGCAGTCAGACCTCACTCCCACAGGCAGGGCTCCGACTCTTGGGCTCTGGGGGCCGCTGGGCCAAGGCATCCTAGGTAGCCTGCCCTCCTGCCCTTCATTTCCTACCCAACTGGCTGTGGAAGTGACAAGAGGGAGGCCTGGGCCTTGTCCTTGGGGAAATACAGATTTATGAGGGTCTAGGGGGAGTGCCCGCTCCTTCCCCTTCCCAGAAGGCTTCCTTGAGGGCAGGGGTAGCTCAGAGATGCTTCTGGGATGAATAACAGAGTGGACAGGAAATATCCAGGCAGGGAGACCTCTTGGTGACTCCTTTTATTTCACTGTTGCAGGTCACATACCCTGCTCTCCTCCCCCACTCTGTGCCCACTGGCTGGCACCCGGCCTCAGCACTATGGCAGCCCATCCCCTTCACCAATGCTCCCTTAGTCAGAGCCCCCAGCCACAGCCTGGAACTGCACAACCCTGCCCCCACCAGATGCCACCAGTCTTCTGTTCCCTGAGGTCTTTGTCCCTTTTCTCCTCCCCCTCCGTATTTCCTCAAGGCAGGGCTGCTCCTCTGCCACCTTTGTAATGTTGGGGTCTGGAAAGGGTCTTGACACCTAGTGTCAGTTAAGCTTTGTTGACAGGACAAGTAACACTTGAAAGGAGCTCACTGCACTCGACACTGTGTAAGTGCTTCATATGGAACCTTGACTCCTCACAGCTACCCCGGGAGGTTGGCCATTTTGCAGATGAGGACATTGAAGTAGAGGGAGGTCAAGTGACATGCTCAACTTCACCCAGTAAATGGCTGAGCAGGAAGGAACAGGGCCAGTTGGGCACCTGACAGCCGATCTGCTCTGCTGTCTCCTTGGTTGATGACTCAGGGATGCTGCCCTGTAGAGCAGGATGGACACCTGTCATTGACAAGAGGGACACCTGCCTGAATGGGCAGTATACCCCAGACTAATGCCCGCTATCCTGTGGCCTTTTCGCCCTTGTCTACCCTTGGGGATGCAGGTCCCCCACCCATTCTATTTGGGAGAGCAGGTGTGACCATCCTTGGCAGTTCATGTTTGCAGAATGATCACTTTGCTATACGGATCCCCAAGACATGCACAGCTTTTAAAGACCCTTGGGGTCATCTTCCCTCCCCTAAGCCTCAACTTCCTGCTCTGGGAAGTAGGCTTCCTTTGGTATGGGGTCTGGTAGGAATTATGACACTGCGTCCACAGCCCTAGCATCTTAGCATCGTGTGGAGCAATGGTCAGGCCAGGCGCATACTCTTCAGCCCTGGGAACAGCTCCTTCCCTAGACCTGGGCACTATGGGACAAGAAGATAAGCTGGCAGGTCCCTGGAGCCTGGCTGGACTCTGAGGCTTGTTTTGCCACCTGACAGTGGGTGGGACACACTTGTCAAAGCCTCTTTTTGCTGCAAATAGACTGTGTCCCACCCCTTTTGGCTGAGTTGCCCAGAGAGGGCAGGGGATGGGTGGGTGCGTGGGGGTAGCCCTGGCAATGCCTCTGTCAGCTGTGGTTAACAAGTGGCAGCTAGCAGGCCAGGGCAGGCTGCGGTGACCTCGGGTGGGGACAGCCAATGAGCTCTCAGGCTGTGGTGGCACCACCGGGCAGCCCGCCTGTCTTTGGCTGGTGCAACAGCGGGAGGGGCCTGGGCCCGCCAGTCAGGGCCGCCAGCCCCGTCTCTGGGAGACTGGGGCAGATCTGCCACTCATTCACAGGGAGCCTCCTAGGGCTGCCTCAGTTTCAAGTTTTCCAACCTCCTCAGGATGGCTGAGAAAACTTGGGGAACTTGGCTCATCTTCTGGATCCAAGTGGGCCAGAGCCCCAGGCTGGGGAGAGGGGAGATTCTGGGTATGCTTTGTTCAAGGCTTGCAGCTGGCCTGAGGGAACTGGAGGGCTGGGTGGGAAAAGCAGAGGGTGGGGGTCAAGGCCCAGGTGCCCACACAGGACCAGTGTCAGGGACTCCAGGCTCTGCACCCTTACAGCTACCAAAGTCCCTTATCCTGTGCCTGGATGGAGCCAGTTCTGAACAGCATTTGTGACCTAAGAGGCTGTCAGCTTGGGCCAGAGAACTCCTGTGTTGTACAGGCTGGACACTATCAGTAGCAACAGGGGCCTGGTCCTCCCACCTCAGTCCCCTTATTCCACACAGACCCACCACGGCCAATCACATAATAAACATATATTTATAGATGTACAATTTCAGAATTCTAATTCAAGAAATACAGCTTCTCAGGGGATCCTTTAGGATCTGTTCTTATTGCACATGGCTCAGCCCGTCTAGGTACAGCTACCAAAACCAGACGGTCGGGGTGGTGGGGGCAGAGCACCAGGGCCACCTCGGGTGGGGCACTCTGGCCTGCATCCAGTTCTTATAATCTCTCTGGGCCGGGGAGGCCACTTCATTGCAGGGTGCGAACTTGTTTAAAAACCAGATTTGACATTTCCTTACCAAACTTCCTTTCCCAGCAGGAATCCTATTTGTTGGGGGTACTTTTAAAAAAGAGCCAAGATAAACTCGGGGAGGACAGTTGCCACTGCGTGGCTGGCAGCTTGGGGAAGTAAGGCTTTGGAAGATGGCAGGCGCAACACCATGCCCACCACCACAGGAAAGCTCGGGAAGAACGCAATTCCAAAAGGCCCAGTGTAAATGTGGGAATAAATAAAACCTCCCTCCTTCCTCTGGCAGCAACTGTTTTGAGAAAAATCCTCATCCGAAGGGGAGGGTAAGAAAAACATTCTGGTTCAGGTGTATCCTTCATCGAGTGTGCACGAGGAGGCCTGGTGCAACCATGTCCACGGAGGGTGAAGACAGAGGTGCCCACAGGCACTGACTTTTCTTCATGAGCCAGGCTGCTGCCCTGGGGTCCTGGGCTGACTCTTGGAAGAAGAGTCTTCTGGAGTTCTTGGTGCATGACTTAGGAAAAACCAGTGGCAACGATGGAGCCGTGCCCTATGGCACTTATAAGGCAAAACCCATGTAGGGACCCAGGTGGGGAAGTAGTTAGGTAGAACCTGGCACCTCTCCAAGCCCTGCAGTTCTATGGGCAGGGGACTGGCTGAGGGGCTCCTGGGCACAAGGACAAAGAACCCACCTAAGGTGGCCAAAGGCAGGGGTGGGGCAACTTGAGTGGGTGCTCCTCACCCCAGCAGGCTGTCTGGGCCTCCACCATGGCTCAATACTGACCTGGTACCCAACCCTAGGGGCAACTTTCTTCCCCACAGCTGTTCCTCTCCAGCTCAACCATAAATCTGGTGACGTTCAGAAGTTTTCTATGGATTTATACCATCATGATTACTGCTGCCATCAAAAAACAGGCTGGGGCTGCAGGGCAGGGGACATTAAAAGCATTATGATCCAACTTTCCTTATGCCGTCAGCTGTGGCTAATGTCTAGCTTTTGAAGGACCAGGATGCCTTCCCCAAACAGGCCTCGTTTTCTGAAACACAGAGGAAATCATCTGAATAGCTTAACTCAATCCCTGCATAGTTTAAAAAGTAGACTCTATATGTGTGTATATATATATATATCTTTATATATGCCTATTTACATATAAATAGATATATATATACATATACATGCATCATAAGTTACATTCTATGGAGAGTTTTTTTCCTTCTTTCTTCCTCTCTATCCTTGGCCAATGCTTCTCCTGTGAGGTGACTGGTGGTGGCTCCTGAGGGGGGAGGAGAGGCAGTTGGGCACCCCCTCCCCCAGTCCTTCCCACAGACATTTGCTGCAAGTTTTACATTCTACTTTCGTTGCCATGGTTTCTGTATCCTAGGAGCGAGCTGATGCAGAGCCTCTGCCAGCCCTGGGAGGGAAGGAAGCAGCCCCTGGCAGGTTTTCTGTCTGTCCTAAGAGCTTTCTGCATTTACTGGGTGAGAGAGAGGGCAGTTGTGCAGCGTTCGGCCTCCAATTCCATTTTAATTTTTTCTTTGTATGTCTTTCCTTAAATATACAGTCCATCACCTTGGCTCAGTGCGTGTCACCAAAAGTTCTCCAGGGATTTCATAGTCTGGGGAGGAGAGTGGTTAACAGTCAGCTGGTTAACAGTTACCTCAGCCCATGCAAACAAGCAGCCCGCCTTGCGCAGTGCCCCTGCCCGGCTCAGCCCCCGCTGCAGTGTGCTGCACTCTCTGGAGTCACTAGCAAATGGGCACAGAGTAGAGTCTGCAGCTGAATCTGTGGCGAGGGGAGACAGGTAAAGGAGGGGACAAGAAAGATCCCAATACTGAGAAGTCTCTACCGGCTCTGCCTGCATTTCTTCAGGCCTGATGCAAGCTATCTGTCGGGGGCACTGGGAACAGAGCCCACCACTCACATGCAGAGGTGGAGGAGGTGGATGCCTACTCCCAGCAACTCACATTTTCTCCCACCCCTTCTGTACTGAGTGGATGCATTTGACCATGAACTCATGACCCGTTCCCTTCCTCAGACCACAGGCAAGATGCCTGGGCGGAGCCGGATGCCTGTGGCTTCCAGACACCAGGTGCAGTAACATTGGAGAGAGGGCCTGAAATCCCACCGGAGTGGGGTGTGGTCAGGGCGCACAGGCCTCTCCTGCCCACAATCAGGCTGCCCATTCATCTTGTTCTATTTCCTCTTGCCTGGAAGGACGGGGAAGGGAGGGCTCTAGGCCCACCCACTCGCACATGGTTCTTCCTGGCATCAGGCAGGCAGTGGGTTTGGGGGCTGTCTTGGGCCCTGTAATATTTGGTGTCCTAAATACCAGGGCACAGGCAATAGTCAGCTGTACTTGGGAAAGGGTTGGGGTGACTTGATGGTTGGAATAGACAAAAGAGCAAGAGCATTGGGCTCTACCACGCAGCCCCAGAACGAGAGACGGAAGTGGGGTGTAGGAGGTAGGGTAGACAATGACTGGACGGTTGAAGAGATCTCAGTTAACAAGCTGGCCCCAGAGCTGTCCTGTCTGTGGGGTCTGGAAGTCAGGCTGGGACAGGGGTCTTTGCCATCACCACCAGGTTTCCTCCCTCCCCACCTCCTCCGCCTCATGACCAAGGCCAAAGCTGCCAGGAGTTGCAGGGCAGAGGCAGCCCTGGCTCATACTTGGACCTGGGTGGTGTGGCTGGCCCAGGACTATCCATGCAGGGAGGCCTGCACCTCTGACAGCCGGCTGCAGCTTGGGGTTCCCATCTTCTGTGCTCTGTGGTACATATCTGTGTCACCAAAGTAGCGGGCCCGGTATAGCAAGCCTTCCTCTGCAAGGTAATGGACAAGGGTTAGGGCACAATCAGTACCTCCTGGAGTCTGCCAGAAGGCCTGCCTGGGCCTGTTGGGGGAAGAAGAAGGTTGGTACAGGCCCAGGAGCTTGGGCAGAGTAGCTTCCCTGGGAGAAGACCCTGGAGGAACAGACTACGGTCCCCTCCTTGGAGAGGGATGATAGAGGCCCCTTCCCTTAGAATATGGGTGAGGCCATTCAGGGTGAAAGCTTGTTATCTTGGTCAGACTTCCCCAGGGTCCCATAGATAGCCCAGGGTGCACAATCAGTGGGAGGTTAGGAGCTCTCTAATCTGTTTCTACCTACTCATCCCTGGCAGCCAGAATGACAGGCTGATTGCAGTGATTTAAAGGACCTGGAGAAAATCACCAGGTGGCCTGGGTTCTCAGCCCCAGGGGAACACAGGAGTGGAGTCCAGGTCTTGGCTGGGAGGCAGCTGGCACAGGGCAGTACCAGGTGCCAGGCCCATGAAAATGGGTGAGTAGGGCTTTCTCCTTCCCCTGTTCTCCAGCTTTGTGATCAGCCACCCTCCCAGTCTGTCGCGCGTACACACACACACACACACACACACACACACACACACACACACTCTTACTTTGCTGCTTCTCCTTCCAACAGTTATTTCGGAGGTTGGCGATATAATCATCTTCCACATTCCGTTCAACTGTTTTGAGGCTAGAGCCTGTGTACTCCTCAGAGAAGGTCTCCGCCACATAGTAGACGACGCTCAGGTGCTCTGTGACTCGTCTGTGGACATGGCCCACTGACCTGGCCAGAAATATACCAGTGCAAAGTGGACCTAGGGGCCAGGCTCAGGGAAGCTCAAGGGATGGTGGAGCCTACTTTGGGAGGTACCGCCAGCCACAGGAGTAGCTGATTCCCTTCCACTCTGCAGCAGGAACTCATGTGCTCCCCCAAACAAACGTCTCCAGCAAAGGCACAGTGTCCCTGCCACACAGATAACCAGCATACAGCAAGCCTTTCCTCTAAGCACAATTGACCCGTGGCCTTTGGGGAAAAGCCCTTCCTGAGAAGCTCTAATCTGTGACACTGGAGAGGTAGTGTGCTTCCATTTTCCCATCTGTTCCCTAAACACATCAATGCCCACAGCCTGCCTGCCTCTACAGGAGCTTCCAGCCTAAGGTTTAGATTCTTAGGGATAGGGCTGGGGCTGTAGTCCAGTGGCAGATGTGGCACCTGTGAGGCACTGGGTTTGATCCTTAGCACAACATAAAAATAATAAATAAAATAAAGGTATGCTGTCCATTTACAACTACAAAAAAATAAAAATAATAAAAAAAAGATTTTTTGGGACAAAAATAATAGGGCTGGGGGTACTGTGCAGTGGTAGAATGTGTGCTTAATGTGTGAAAGGCAAGAGGTTCAATTCCCAGTACTAAAACAAAAAACTCACAGGAACAAAATATGATAGGAAAGATTCCAAGGAGTTGTATCCTTCCAGCCCCAATCGTGGGCTCTGTAGGCTGCAGGGAGAACAGCCCCTGCCTATCCTATAGAAGCACCTCATCTTTCCAGCTGCAGGGAAGGGGCTGGCATCTGGCCACTTGGAGCCTGAGCCAGCTACCATGGGTTCACTGAGTGAATTCTGCCCTCTACTGGCTGCAATGAAGCCTGCAACCCCCTGCCTTCAAGCCAGAGGGCGGTGCTGGGTAGGAGCAGAGGGCTTCAAGAAATAGAAGTATCCACGATGTATGAGACATTATGCCAAGACTGAGAAGAGAGAGGGGAGTGGACATTTTTTAAAAATATATATATGTATTTACTTTTTAGTTGTAGTTGGACACAATACCTTTATTTTATTTATTTATTGTTAATGGTGCTGAGGATCAAACCCAAGGCCTCCTTGTGCTAGGCAAGTGCTCTACCACTGAGCCCCAGCCCCAGCCCGGGAGTGGAAATCTTTTTTTTTTTTTTTTTTTTTTTTTTATTGGTTGTTCAAATGGGAGTGGAAATCTTAAAGGGTCAACTAACCTACCAACCTCACTACTGGCAGGTGAGACCAAGTGTTCACTCGAAAACATTAAGCATTTATAATGAGCCAGATATTTAATATGTATTACTCATTAATTTTCTCAAGTGGGTAGATGCTGCTATTCCCATTTTATGGACGAGGAAACTTTGGTTATGCATCTAGGTTCACAACTCTCAGTGGAGAAGATGGGGTTCAAAACTACCCTTGCACTGAGTCTAGGGTCCTGTCCTTTCCATGGCTGTCAGGGCCTCAACCAGCATCTAAGAGCAGAGGTTATTTCATCTTATCTAAGATGGGGAAGGAGGAGCCATGAAGTCTCTGAAATCACATGTCAAAATCTGCGTGTGCATTGAGGGAACAGGTCTGAAGCTTTCACCGCGTTTTCTTTCTTTTGGTGATGGGGATGAAACCCAGGGTCTTTACCACTGTACTTTATCCCTAATCCTTTTTATTTTTTATTCTGAGGCAAGTCCTCACTATGTAGCTGAGAGTCTAGCCAAGTTGATGAGTCTGGCCTTGAACTTAGGATCCTCCTGCCTCAGCTTCCTGAGTCGCTGGGATTACAGGTGTGGGTCACTATGCCCAGCTTTTACTGTATTTTCTTAGGGGGCTATGTTCCTAAAAAAAAAAATTCAGAGGCTCAGATCAACAGAAATAGTCTATTTTCTTGATTATGAACCACTTTTTTGTGATGTGATGGAGAACTTGCTGGATGGGGATGCAAACGCAGGAAGGCCCCTAATAAGGGTTGAGACTCCAAAGCCCTTGTCTGCCCATCGCCCCCCGCCTGAATCCGGTACTCACGGTCTTGGGCTCAGACTGTAGGGTGGACTGGAGACCATGAGCTGGCTGAGAGCTGACACGAGGATCAGGATGAGGATGGGCATCAGTTGGACAAAGACCCCTAGCCCGCCCTGGAGGGAAAAGTCAACCATTATGCCGCTGGTCACGATCACTACCAGCTCCTCTAACACAATGAAGCCCAGTGGTTATGACACCACACTCTCCTCCAAATACAGGTCCAAAATACAAAAGCTCCTCCACCCGGCAGCTTTCCCAGATAAAAACAAAGCAGTCACCAGAGAGAGCAAGGTAACATGCAATGACTTGTGAGAAAATACCAACACAGCACAAGGGGCTGCCTCTGAAAACAGGAGGTAGGGCCAAGGGAGGCTGCACTATGTATACTTTTCTGAAAAATTTCTTTCATTTTTTTTGGGGGGGGGGCGTGGATACTGGGGATCTAGCCCAGGGGCAATTTTCCACTGAGCCACATCCTCACTCTTTTTATTTCTAACTTCTGAGATAAGGCCTTGCAAAGTTGCTTAGGGCCTCACTAAGTCACTGAGGCTGGCCTTCATCTTGCAATACCTGCCCCAGGCTCTGGTGTAGCTGGGACACTTATAGTTTTTATGTACATTTCAAGAGTGCTGAAAAGCACCTATGTTGGCTTTTGTTATAATTCTCTCACCAAGTCTAGCTCTCCCTTCCTTGGAAAATGTCACTTTTGCCTTATGAACAAGTGGGCTATTCACACTTGACTCTGTCTGCAGGGGAGAAGTTTCCCCAGGTAGGCTTCACACCACCTTTCCTGTGGGCAACGGGGAGGGAGAGCAACTGGGGCGGGCCTGGACTCCCTGCTCTTCTAGCCCCTGCTTCACTCACGTCACCCTGGTTCTCCCTGCGGTCCTGCCTTTGCTGGTAGGTATAGCGCATGCGGCCATTGCTGTACACGTGGACGTTACCTGAGGGTCAGAAGAACTGAGTTAGAAGATGGGGTTTCTGGGAAAGGGAGGGGTGGACCCAGTCTCCCACCATCACTCCCAGGGAGACCTGGCTGTGGGAAGGGGAAGGAACTTACTAGAAGGGAAGCCACCACCAAAGAACATGTTGAAGAGGTCTTCAGGGGAGATGTCAGCCTCAAAGCCACGGTGGAAGTCCCCGTGGCCGTGGCCGTGTCGGGCTGCCTGGTTCTTGTCATCACCAAATTGGTCATACTGTTTCCTTTTCTCCGGGTTGCTAAGTACCGCATATGCCGTGCCAATGGCTGGAGAGGGAACGGAAGGCCAGGCTGAGGGGCGGGTGTGGTGGGGCTGCCACGCAGCCCAGTGCTCACTTTTTTCAGGGGCTGAGGAGGGGCTTTAGGGAACAGAAGTCTGTGGGGCTGCAGGAAGCCTGCACCTGTGGGGAAGGGGTGTGGGCAGCCTGGAGGGCTGACACTGGGACTCCTGGCTTTCCTCGGGGTGACACTGGTGGAACGAGGTCCTTTCTAGGTGTTGTCTCCATTACTTTGAATAGCAGCCCTGCCTGCATTTTACCAAGGAGAGAAGTGGGGCTCAGGGAAGTGAAATGACTCACCCAGCTCTGAGGACTCTGAGCCGGGAGTCAAAGCCAAGTGTCTTGCTTCAGGCTTTTGCACTGACCTTATTATTTTTTTTTGATTTGTTCTCTTTAGAGGTAACATGACAGTAGAATACATTTTGACATATTATACATACATGGAATATAACTCACTCTAATTAGGATTCTCACTGAGAATCTTTCCCCCTCTTTCCTCCTCCTTCTCCCCCAAGGTGCCCAAGAGGCAGGGCATCCTTTTCTGGTGATAATATATTTTTGAAGTCATAGTGACCAAATGGACACAGTAAGTCCTTGTAAACTGGAAAGCGGTGAGAAGCGCTTGCAAGGGCCAAATCCTTGGGGTCTGGTTGAGACTCCTCTGCCGTTGGTGGTATGGCAGGGGGTGAGCCCTTGATTCCTGGGGTCCAGAGCCTAGCCACTGTTTCCTTCCTGGCCCTGAGGCCTCCTCAGCAGAGCTCCCTGGGTGAGAAGCCTGTGTTCATAAGACCTGCAGCTCTGGATTCTCCTCAGCCTCCTTGCTTCTCTTCCTCCTCCTCCAGCTGCCCAGTTGCTAGGAACAATGGCCTCAGCTGCATCTGCTTCACAGCCTGCAACCCCCTGGGAAGGAGGAGGGTGGAGTCTTCCTCTCCCCACTCCTACCATTTCACAAGGCCCCAGCACTAGGTCTGGTCTCTCAGTCCCCATCTGAGCTGGCTGCAGGAGCACTCAGGGATGGAGACACATCACCCATGGCCACCTTGCCGCCCCACTCCCACTCTCCTCTTTGCCGCCCTACTCCCACTCTCCTCCTTTCCCTGGGGCAGGCCTCTGGGAGATGGTGTGCCAGGTCTGCTCTGGCACAGGCTCCCCAACTGACTATGGTCTTGACTCAGAACTTACTGACTTTATTTTTGAACCAAGGGGTGCTTAACTACTATGCCACATCCCCAGCCCATTTTTCTTTCTTTTTTTTTTTTAATATTTATTTTTATTTTTTTAGTTCTCGGCAGACACAACATCTTTGTTGGTATGTGGTGCTGAGGATCGAACCCCGGGCTGCACAAATGGCAGGCGAGCGCGCTACCGCTTGAGCCACATCCCCAGCCCCACCATTTTTCTTTTTTGAGATAGGGTCTCACTAAATTGCTTAGGGCCTTGTTAAGTTGCTGAGGCTGTCTTGAACTTGTGATCCTCCTGCTTCAGTCTCCAGAATCGCTGGGATTTCAGGAGTGCACCACCAAGTCTGGCTTGGCCCCAGTACTGAAGCACAGCACCAGGTGGAACTGGTCACCACGCTCTTCAGAGAGAAGGAACAACGGGGTAATGAGAAACTGCAGTATCCCAACACAGGGCTGGCCTGGAGTCAGTGCGCATGTGTGCTTCATAGGTTAAATGAAAATCTAAATGAATAATGATTCTGGCCAGAGGTGACACACCCCACTGTGGAATTCAATGGGCTCTGAGGACAGAAAGGCCCACTGTAGGCCCTCAAGATGTGTGTGTGTGTGTGTGTGTGTGTGTGTGTGTGTGTAGTTGGCTGTGGCTGCTGGTACTGAAGCCACAAGGTCAGAGGCCTCTTCCCTCAGCACAGGGAAGCTGTTACCATAGGAAGCTGCTCCTACCCCAGTCAATGTGTGACCTTATAGAAACTACTAGAATTCTCTTACTTCTATAAAACATGGGATGACAAAGGGGAAGCAGAATGGAACTATATAAAAAACGACCTGGCTAGAGGTGGCTACTGTGACCTCAGGAAGCAGCTCCCGAGCCTGTGGAAGAGAGCCCGAGATCACTTCGTTCTGCCCACCCCCTTACTGGGAAAGCTGTCTTGGCCCTGTATTCCAGGGACAGAAGATAAAAGTACCAAAGTGCCAGGGTGCCAGGGCTAGCTCACCTTTGAAAGCTTCGGTGGCACCAGGTGCGTGATTCTTGTCAGGGTGGAATTTGAGGGCCAACTTGCGGTAGGCCTTCTTCAGGTCCTCATCTGAGGCTCCTCGGCTCACCCCCAGGATCTCGTAGTAATCCTTACACTGCTTGACCCTGGGGGATGGAGAAGAGCAGGAGTGGGTGCCCTCTGAGGGCTCAGAGCCATGAGGTAAGGTGGGAGAAGAACAGGCAGCAATGGGCATCCAGGTCTGAGCGCCACCCCCCAGGGAAGCAGAGCATGGTCAGTGGTTCCTCTCGGTCAGCCGTCTGACTTCAGGGATAGCGGAGTTCCAGCTGGGGTGGGGAGCTGGGTGGGGCCCTCTGGAAACACCGAGAATACACTTAGGATGTGGGAGGGAAAGCTGCTGTCTTTGGCCAGGCGAGCGTCAATCTCCCTTCTGCTAACAACTCCCCCGCTGGAGGCCACCTTGGAAGGACTGTCAATATCTGTCATCCAAGGGCAGGTGTGTCCTGAGCTCAGCCAACTGTACTCTCTTGGCAATTGGAATTCTGGAGTGGGAACATAAAGGCCAGCAATGGCAGGTGCCCATTTACCCGAGGAACTGGGCACTGAAGAAACCCTATTTCTGTCCTATTAATTCTTACTTTCTGGGTCCCCGAAGGTTCTTGGTCTTGGCTTTCTCTAAGTATTCCAGTTCCTCCTGCGTTAGTCTCTACTGCTTTTGATTAGGCTTGTCTGGTTAAACCCTTGCCTGGTTTATAGTAAACTCAGTCATGCTTGGTCACCGCAGGCTGAGCCCCTGTCCCAGCTTGCTAGGAGGCAGAAGCACCACTCCACCTGAGGCAAGCTGGTGGGGAGAGCGAGGCTGGAGGCTCTGTCCTGAGAAACCTTGCAGAATGGTCTGCGGCCTGGCAGTGAGCTGCTCTGCGCAGGGCCTGCCCCTTGGAGGCATAACTCTACTTTTGCCTCCACTTCACCCCATGGGATCTGTCTAGAAGGTCTTTGTTGGGGATAGGGGTGTGGGTGGGGGAGAATCTGGAGAGACCAGGCTTCAATCTGTGTAACAAACAGCTTGTAGAGAGGCCTGGGCCCTCCTGGCCAGTGGCAGGGGAAGATGACAGTCAGCATTTCCAGGCTCTGTGTGGGCCATCTGGGGGTGGGGCAGAAAATGGGGCCCTGGCTTCCATACATTTTAGGGCTTTGTGGGAAAAAAGGCTTTTTTTTCCGACCTCCAAGACCTTCCCAGGCCCCATCCAGGCCCTGGACAGAAGTGAGAGACGGCTTGTAGGAAGCCCTCCCTGGCAGGAAGTGTCCCCAGGACCCACAGGCTGGCGCGCAGGCCTCTACCTTCTCACTGCTGCCACCTGCTCTGCAGTGTAGCCTTTGCTGCTCTCTCCTCCTCCAGCTTCACCGTTGGCCGTGGGGGCTTCGGTCGCACCTGCTTTCCTGTGGGTGGTGTGGGTTGCTTCTGTGGGTGGGGGTTGGTCACTGGCAGACTGTGGTTTTTGGTTTAGGGACTCGATCAGAGCTGTGCAAGGAAAGAAACCATTGGGGGCTCCTGCTCAGCAGGGCTGCAGCTTCTTGTCCCCAGGGAGAGACCAGCACCCTGCATCCCACCCGCTGCCCTCCCGGCAAAGCTCGATGTCCTTTCCCTTCTCAGCCAGTGGGTGCTGGTGAACAGCTGCCTGCGCTTAGGAGCCACAGTCCTCAGAAACAGGAAGGCTACAATTTTTTTTTTTTTTTTTTTTAGAGTGAGAGAGAGAATTTTAATATTTATTTTTTAGTTCTCGGCGGACACAACATCTTTGTTGGTATGTGGTGCTGAGGATCGAACCCGGGCCGCACGCATGCCAGGCGAGTGCGCTACCGCTTGAGCCACATCCCCAGCCCAACAATTTTTTTTTTCAAACAACAAATAAATATATACATATTTTTATGAATAAGTATACATTTATTTCTTTTCTTTTTTGTGGGGCTGGAGATCAAGGCCAGGCTTCACAAACGCCGGGCAAATGCTCTGCAGCTAGCTCTCTCTGCCTCCAGCTTCACCACTGACCGAGGGGGCATCAGTATCCCCAGACCTACATGAACAGGACTAATTTGATTAATAAAATTAACGACGGGATCCACATAATACATAGCTAAATATGTGTGTGTGTGTGTGTGTGTGTGTGTGTATTTATACATCTCCTCTTTTTTCTGTAGTACTAGGACTGAACCAAGGACCTCCACCCAGGGCCTCCCACATGCCTCTCTACAAGCACTCTGCCACTGAGCCACAACCCCAGCCTTTTGTTTTTCTTTTGAGACAGGGTCTAAGTTACTCAGGCTGGCCTCAAACTTGGGATCCTCCTGCCTTAGTCTCCTGAATCACTAGAATGACAGGTTCCCAGTTTCTATTCTTTTTTTTTTTAAATTAAAAAAAAATTTACATGGACACAATATCTTTATTTTGCTTATTTTTTTAAAAAAATTTGGTGCTGAGGATGGAACCCAGTGCCCTACACGTGTGAGGCAAGTGCTCTGCCACTGAGCCACAACCCCTGCCCCTCTATTCTTTTTCTTAATAAATGTAAGCAGAAAATTTTATATTCTGAGAGTCTTTTCAAAACACATACTTAGTCCAGCCGCAGTAGCCTGTAATCACAGCTACTTGGGTGCTCTTAAAGAGCTGGGGAATGTAGCTCAGCAGCCCTGGTTTCAATCCCCAATACTGAAAAACAAAAAACCATGAAAAAAACAAAACACATTGAGTTTTATCAATAAATCCTTCAATATTTGGTTTAGAGTTCATTTAACTCTACTATTATTTTTTTTAGTGCATTTCTTTGGTTTTTCTCTGCACCTCTTTCTTTAATGCAGACTTTTTCCTACTAAACTCATTCAATTCTGTATACTTTTTTGTGGGGAGTACAGGGGATTGAACCTAGAGGTGCTTTATCACTGAGTTACATTCCCAAACCTTTTTAAAAAAATATTTATTTATTTATGCATCTTTAGTTTTAGGTGGATACATTAATTTGTCATTAGTTTGTTTTTAATGTGGTGCCGAGGGTCAGTGCCTCATGCATGCTAGGCGAGCACTCTTACCACTGAGCCACCACCCCAGCCCCCAAACCTTTTTTTTTTTTAATACATTTTTAGTTGTAGATGGACACAATATCTTTCTTTTTTCTTTTTTTTTTTTTTTGTGGTGCTGCGGATTGAACCCAGGGACTTATGCATGCAAGGCAAGCACTCTACCAACTGAGCTATATCCCCAGCCCTTTATTTTTTCTTTAGTGATGCTGAGGATTGAACTCAGTGCCTCACATTCCCAGACCTTTTAATTTTCATTTTGAGATCGGGTCTCACTAAGTCACTCAGGGTCTTGCTAAATTGCTGAGGCTGGCCTCCCACTGGCTATCCTCCTACCTCAGCCTCCTGAGTCACTGGGATTACCGGAGTGCACTACCCACCTGTATATACTTCTCTCTCTGCACCATATTTTGAATATCAAAAATATTCAATCCTTTGCACTACCCCCTTGTTTTCTATTTTTTAAAATTGTAGTGGACACAATACCTTTATTTGTTCATTTTTATATGGTGCTAGGGATTGAATCCAGTGTTTCACGCATGCTAGGCAAGAGCTTGTTTTCTATTTTTATCTTTGATCTCTAAATTGCTTTAATATTAAATTAATACTATCAATACAAAACTAAGTTGAAAGAGTTTTAATGTTTCCTAGTTTTTTAAAAAAAAGGCTGTTTAATGTCATTAATTATTAACATAGTACATCAGAGTTATACACTGTTCAATGTTTCTAGGGTTTTTTGTGTGCATGTGGTACTGGAGATTGAACCCAGGGCCTTGAACATGGTGGGTAAGTACTCTATCATTGAGCTGACTCCTCAGCCCCTTTTTTTTTTTAAATTTTGAGACAGGCTTGAACTTGTGATTCTTCTGCCTCAAACTCCTGAGTAGGTGGGATTACAGATTATGCCACTGTGCCTGGCTCCTGGCTTGACTAATTACACAGTACTGGGGATTGAACCAAGGGCACTTTAACACTGAACTACATCCCAGTCCTTTTATTTTGAGTCAGGGTCACACTAAGTTGCTGAGGTTTTCCTCAAATTGCAAGCCTCCTGGGGGCTGGGGTTGTGGCTCAGTGGTAGTGAGCTCGCCTAGCATGCATGAGGCGCTGGGTTCGATCTTCAGCACCACATAAAAACAAAATAATGTGTCCGCCTAAAACTAAATGTTTAAAAAAAAAAAAAACAAATTGCAAGCCTCCTGCTTCAGACTTATGAGTCACTGGGATTACAGGCATGTACCACCACCCAGCCAGGCTTCTGGTTTAGATTCGTAAATATTATTTCCTTTTAGTTTAGGATATGACAAGAGTTTTTTTCCCCCTACTGTGGTAAAAAACATAATATGAAATTTATCATCTTTTTTTTTTTTTTTTTAAATTTTAACATTTATTTATTTTTTCTTAATTCTCGGCGGACACAACATCATTGTTGGTATGTGGTGCTGCTGGGGATCGAACCCGGGCCGCACGCATGCTAGGCGAGCGCGCTACCGCTTGAGCCACATCCCCAGCCCCGAAATTTATCATCTTAACCCTTTTCAAGTATGCAGTTGTAATAACACAATATAGGTCACTTTTATTTATGTTAAGTTTTTTTTTGCCCAGGGTCTCCTATGCATGTGAGGCAAGTACTTTACCCCTGAGCTACATCCCTAGTCTTAGGTAATTTGTTTTTTCATATTTATTTTTTAGTTGTAGTTGGACACAATACCTTTATTTTATTTTTATGTGGTGATGAGGATTGAACCCAGGGCCTCGAACATGCTAGGCAAACACTCTACAGCTGAGCCACAACCCCAGCCCCCCTAGGTAATTTTAACTCACCAAAAAAACAAACCAAGGCTGTGGCTCAGTGGTAGAGCATTCGCCTAGCATGGGTGAAGCATTGGGTTCGATCCTCAGCATCTTAGCACCACATAAAGATAAATAAATAAAGGTATTATTGTCCATCTACAACTAAAAAAAAAAGAAAAAAAATCAAACCATTAATCCCTCAGATTTTTTTAAATCCCAAAGCAATCTCCAACAGATGTATTGTTTTGAGTGCCAAGAAGGTGAGGCCTCTGCAGTGGGGACCTATTTAGCAGACCTGTCTGATTCAGTGGACTGGGTAGGAAGGCCGATTCCTGGAGATCATCTCTAAACAGTGAATAGAGACAGGGGAAGTAAGTTTGCCCAGGGGCCAGGGACGGTGGGAGATACAGGAAAAATACCTGCACTTCCAACTTGCTGTTGTTACATTTTTCAAATGGCTGGTCAAGTCAAATGTCCACTCAATGTTTGGGGGTCTATACAGGGGATTCATGGTTAACCTCAGACAGGGTTATGGTTATGCAAATCCAAGTCCCTGGTTCCTGCTGACTCAATGAGGAAGGCCCTAAAAAGTTCCTTGTACCCTTTTATGACTGTCATAAAATTAGAAATCCCCAGTCATGCCAGGCCAGTGCCCAGGGTAGTAAACCCCAAAGCCTTTGACAGGCTCCTGAGAAACCAGGAACCTGGATCCACCAGGACCCAGAGACACTTCTGTGTTGAAGAAGGATGGGGGTACAGTCCAGACTGGGGCCCTGCTTCCTTCCCAGGTGCTTCCAGGCTCACAGCCCTGTTCTGGATGTCAGAAGCCTTCCACTGCAACACACCTGGGCCTCATCCAGGGCCTTGGAGCAGGGTTTGCTGGGAAAAGAGCATCAGGGCTTGCTGTGCCCTGAGCCACCGCTGGCTGCCTCACTGCCAGGCATCAGAAGATGGTGAAGGAAGAAACAAACAGATGAAGAGATGCCAGTCCAGATGGGACAGAGGGAAGAGCAGGTTTGCTGGTTTTGCTGAGTCCGAAGTTGGGAAATCCAAACACAGGAGCTGAAGGCAGGGTTTGTACAGCATGGGGGAACAGGGGCTCCCAGGGCATATCCTGGCAAGGTGCTCAGAGAGAAGCAATACTAATAATCATTTTTTTGGGGGACCAGGGATTAAACTCAAGGGCACTCAACCACTGAATCACACCCCGAGCCCTACTTTGTATTTTATTTAGAGACAGGGTCTCACTGAGTTGTTTAGGGCCTCCCTAAGTTGCTGAGGCTGGCTTTGAACTCGTGATCCTGCTGCCTCAGCCTCCGGAGCTGCTGGGATTGCAGGCATGCGCCACTGCACCCAGACTAATAATCACTTTTATCACTGAGCGCTCACTGGGTATCAGGGATGTCAGAGTGCTCTATACATAGTAGCTAATTTAATTGTCGCAACAGCCTCAGAAGGTAGGTCTTATTACCTACTGCTACCTCACTGTAGGAAGAATCTAAAATAAGTGGCAAAGTGCATTTAAACCTCAGGAGCCCTGCTCTTAAGCTATCCTGGACCACATGTGTTTGATGGGGCACCACCTCCAGCAAAGTCATTCCACCTACAGGGAAAGGCCTGGATTCAACTTGCAGCTTTGCCACTTATTAGCTGTATGACCCTGGATGATCTCAGAGTTCTCTCTGAATCTCAGTTTCTTCCTAAAGTGAACAAAGTGGGAAAAAGATAATGTGTATAAGCACTTGGTATAGAGACTGGCACAGAGTCAAGCTCAAAAGCAGTAGCTGCTAACATCATGACCTAGGCTGATAAAGTGACCATGGGAGCAGGCTGGCCAGACAGGGGAGGGGACCTACGTGTTGGGGCAGCACCAAGGCTTAGAAAGCTAAGTCTTGGCACTCAGCAGGCTCTGTGCCACGAGACTTCAGGCTGTCCCAGATGCCAGGCTCCATGCCAGGTACCAGGGCATGGTGAAGGAAGAAACCAACAGATGAAGAGATGCCAGTCCAAATGGGGACAGAGGGAAGAGCTAGTTTGCTGGTCTCCTAGGGCTTTTAAAGAAGTTGCTTACTTTGATTTCTCTAGAAATGTCAATGGTCCAGGCTGAGCCTGACATGCTCAGAGCAACACAACCAGTTATCCAACTGCAATGACATGCAGGGACCTCAGTTAGGAGACGGGATGGGCTCTCTCTAGCACCTCTCAGGGAAGATACTGGAAACTGTTTCGGGCAGTTACCCGGAGTCAGCCACTCTAATTTCCCTACACTGCAGAAAGCCTAAAGGGGAATGGATGTGCTCCAGCCCACTCAGGAGGCTCCTGCTTGAGTTGGCTTTCTAGCTGATGGCATGTAGGTCTCTCCTGTCGCCTGAACACCCCTTCTTCCAGGCCTGTGACAAGTGACTTTCTCACCATGACTCATTATTACCTCCTTCATAACACAGTGACCGACAGGAAATGTCACAAGAGTTAAGAGACAGCTTAACATTAACCCTGGCTCTGCCCTTTCCCAGTAAAACCATGGGACATCAGAGGAAGGTAACAAAGTGGTAGACAGGTGTCAGCTGAGGTGGAGATGGGAGGGTGTCCATGGCCAAAGCCATCAGGGGCTGCCCCTTCTCAAATCCAGACCAGAGAGTCAGACAGCCTGGCTAGATCAGACCTGGACCTGTCACTAGCAGGGTCATGGACAAGTTAACTCAGATTCTCTAGGCAAAGTTACACCTTTCTCACAAGACTCACAGTAAAGGAGCACAGGCATGTGCAAGACTCACCAAGACACCTGGCAAATACTTGGCGTTACCCATTTGTTGAGATAAGTAGCTGAGTTTCCAGATTCATGTACCTACAGTGCTCAAGGTGAGTCAAAGAAAGAGGTCAGAGTGGGAAGGAGCTTGGGATTGGTGACGACAGTTCTGGGTTCTTTGCTACTCAGCTGTGTGTCTTTGCCAAGTTGTCTAATTCCTTAGTGAAGACACGAGTCCTTCCCTCGTAGGGCTTCTCTGAGGGGAAAATAATATTCAGTAGAATAAAACTGAAGGGAAGGGCTGAGTGCACAGGGTCAGGTGAAGGCTGACTAACGTAAATGACAACCCCACCCTAGATCTCAGCAGTAGAAGAATTCTCTCTCATACCTAGACCTGAATTCCCAAGCCCCTCAGCTACCAATCCTCCCTTCTTGGTGAGCGCTGGTCTTCCTGACTTAGCCTGGACTTGAGTTGGCTATTTCGTAGAATCTCAGGCAGCCTAAGCTGCAAGGAACATTAGAGATCATCAGATCGTCCACATGACCTTTCTCTTTGTGTGCCAACACTGAAAGCCAACATTGTGTGGTCCCTTTACCCTTCAAGGTCCTCTGAGTCTCCTCTCCCCACTGATCCCTCCATCTGAGGCCTACAGATGTTTTCAAAAGTTCCCTGGGACACTTGGGACCTTCCACCATTTTTACGAAGCCTCAAGCAAAGCCAATGCTTACCAGGCAGCCAGGTGCTAGATAGAAACTCCCCAAAAAGGACTAACTGGCTCTATTACCCTTGCCTGTGACCTCCTGGCTTACTGTCTGGCTACTGCTAAGCAATGCAACTGTCCAGTCCTTGATGCCTCCCTGTCCTACCTCACACAACAGGAGTTAAGTCTCCTCACATCCTCTTCACTGAGAAAGCCAACACTGTGTGGTCCTTTTACCCTTCAAGGTCCTCTGAGTCTCCTCTCCCCACTGATCCCTCCATCTGTCCTTATACTTCTCCAAGACCAGCCTCTACTCAGGCTCTCAATCCTTCTCCATTTAATTCTAAACTCGCCCTTTTCCCACAGCAGCATCTGACAGCACTGCTCACCTCCTCCTTGACACACCTCTCTCCATGGCTACAGGGCTGCCCTCTTCTGGGACTGCCTCCTCCTGTTGCTCCATCTTATCTGGAGCTTACTGGCTAAAGGCAAGTGCAGCTCTGGTTGTGCGGGAAGTAACTGTTTCTCCATGTTCTACCCTCTCCCACAGTGACCTTGGCAATGAGCTCCATTAAACTGGTGATACCAGATTTTCATCTGGAACCAAGCTGATGGCTCCCTTGGAATATCCCACTGGCCCCTGCCACTCTCTCCCCTCTCTCCAGCCCAGTTCTTCAGCTGGAGTTTCTCCCTGGCCACTCAGGTTTCATTCTCCTCAGAACCTCTCTCTCACACTAAGGTTTGTCAAGGCCTTTTAAATGACCTTATCTTTACCACACTGCCTTATCTCAGGCCTTCATATCTTCTAACCTAAACAAAGCCATTGTTTCCCAATGGGTTTTCTTTGAATCTCTTCCCTCTTTATGCAGTCCTCTCTTAAGAACAGTACCTTACCTTATTCTCATCATCAAAAACTTCAGTGGCTCAGCTGGGGGTGTAATTCAATGGTAGAGTACTTCTCTAGCACTGAGCTACATCCCCAGTCCATCCATGGGATACCCCCCCCCCACCACCACCAACAAAAAAACAAATGAAAAAAACCAATTACAACAAAAACTTCAATGGTTTCCTCATAACTACAAAATGAAGTGAAAATATCTTGGCCTGGTGAAAAGAAGTTCCACAATCTGGCCCCAAGTTACTTTTCAACCTGCATCCTCTCTATATACAAATACTCACCTCCCCTGCCTTCTGAATCTTGCTAGGCCCAATTCCCTTCCCCAAACCTCTTACAACTTTCAGCCTCCATGTCTCTTCCCAACATGCCTTACCCCAAGTTCCCCAGGTATAAACCTTTCTTCAAAGCACAATTCAAATGCTGACTCTGTCTTACTCCCTAAAGCTGTTCCCTGTGTGAGGTAACAGTATGTGTATGCCCTTGCAGCGGCAGCACCACTCACTACGGTGCTTATAATTTCATTAAGGAGATTGTCCTCCACAACAGACTGTTGAGTCCATGGGTTGCAGAGACTGGATTTTCATGACCATTCTTTTTTATAGTACCAGGGATTAAACCCAGGGGCACTTAACTTCTGAGCCACACCCCCAGCCTGTTTTATTTTTTATTTTGAGACAGAGTCTCTCATTAAGCTGCTCAGGGCCTTACTAAGTTGCTGAGGCTGGCTTTGAATTTGAGATCCTCTTGCCTCAGCCTCCTGAGTCGCTGGGATTACAGGTATGTGCCACTGTGCCTGGCTTTCATGACCATTTTTTAGTCCTCAGCATCTAACACAGTGCTTAATTTTTATTAAGTCACAGTTATTATCTTTTGCCTTGAAAATTTTTTTTTTCCCTGTAAGTTTGTCACCTTCATTAGATTGTAAGTGCTTTGAGGTGAGGGATCACATTTTGTCAATCCTGGTATACCATTTAGCATCAAGCACTGGACTTTATAAACAAATCAAAAAAGATCCTCAACAAAAACCTGTTACACTGAATGAATATTTAGAATGAGCTCAAATTCAAAGCATTCAGTACAAATAACCACCTAATATTTTTAAACTAGGATTTCCCCATCGCCAGTCTAAATTAACCCCAGGTCCTTGCTAACTCAGTGCATGGCTGCAGGTGGTACAAAGTGAGGGCTATGCAGATTCACAAGGCATATACTCTTTTCAGAAGAGCACAAACACCACAAATTTGCAGCAGGTGACTTGTGCCTGAGCAAATTCCAGCACCTGAGCCCCAGAAGGACAATCATCCAAGCTCCTGAACTGGCACAGGAAGCCTGCAGCTGACATGACCCACTGGTTCTGTTTTTACCATCCTCTCTTAGCTGCTTGCTCCTGAGCCCCCAGCAGCATCACAAAGAATTCTGACAGCTGGAATTCTGTTCCAACATGTTCCCCACTTATAGAGTGTGACTTATTACACAGTGAAGCTCCTTGGGCAGGTTATCTCAGGAGTCCTGGCAAATACAGACTGAAGCCCTGTCCAAGAGGAAGCAAACAGACCAAAGATCAACCTGGAAAGTCAGAAGGGAGGAAAGTTCAGGAGCTCCTGGCTGTCTCTTCTGGCAGCCTTCCCCTTTCTCCATTTCACACTGCAAGTAGGGAGGCTGAGGAGGCTGAAGGCTCCTCCTTTGATTTCATTCCATTCCTTTAATTAACATCTATAGAGTTGCAGAGCTTTCCAATTTCTAGCTGTGTAATCTTAGGCAAGTCCCTAAGTCCCTAAACCTCTGGGATGTTTCCTTATCAATAGAACAAAGATGATGATCCTGCACTGCCTGACAGGGGAGGTCCAAGTGACAAAAACACATGTGGAAGACCTTCCTACACAGAAAAGCTCTATAGGTAGTGCTGTTATTCACATTATCTGAGCTAACTCTCTAATCTTCTAGGAGAGGAGCCCAAGCTCAGAAAAGTCCTACAGTAGCAGTCAGGATGGGCCTTCTGAGTGCCAGTAAACAGATAGTTTACCTAGTAGTAACCACAGGCACGAAACTCCATGCCTTTCTACTTTTCGGTTTGTATTATGAAAAACCTTTACGAGAACTTAAAGAAAAAGAAGATGAAGTGGCTCCGGGTAAAATGAGGTTGTGAGAAGTAGAGACCACCTCAGTATTTGGGAGGCCTCAGTCCTGGGCCTCTTAGCAGCCTTGGCAGTCCATAGGACGGCCCACTGACGGCCGGCTGGGAGTGAAGGTGGGTTGTGGGGGGGTGGAGGCCAGCAAATCTCCAACAAGTCATCCACCCCGAATCTCATCGGCGGGTGAAGAGGCTGCGGGAGGCAGAGGGAGCTGGGCCTCAGGACAGGCCGCTGGAGGTGCAGTGGAGTGGGTGACAACTGGCAGGCTCTTGTTTCGGAAGGTGGTCCCTGGCCCTTGAATGGAGACGTGGGAGCGACTGGAGACATGTAGGCGCCTTTCCAGGGCGCCCAGAGGGCGGAAGTCTTTCGCTCTCCAGAACCCATTCCCTCTCTCAGCACTTATGTTTATTTTCCCGAACTATATTATTTCCCAGGCCAGCAACTGGCCCTGAGCCACCGAACGGCCCCTTGGGAAAAGTAGTTCGATTTCGCTTCCAGGTGAGTTCCCTTCGCTAGCACTGTCGGTGCCATCTCACGCTAAAAAACCTCAAATCCCAGAGGGATCCGCAAGCACCCCGAAAGGTGACGTCCAGACCGCCCCTGTCTTCAGGTGTCCAGCATCTCGCAGAGGCGCGGGACAGAAAGACTACAGCTCCCAGCAGCCACTGCGTGCTTCACTGCGCAGGCGTAGCCGCGCCTCGCCACCCCTCCCCCTCCGCCAACTGCTCCCGTCGGTCCGTTCGTATTCCCCCCATCAGTTCTAATGTCCCCCTCTGCCTCTCCGGTACTTCACACTCACCGCGAACTCGGGGCGTCGGGTACAGCCGCTGTGCCTTCTCCAGGAAGCGGAGTGCCCGGTCGGGCTGGTTGCTCTGGATGGCCTTGAGGGCGATGCTGATACAGCGCTCGGCTTCATCCTTGTTGGATTCCATGGCGGAACCAGAGCGCGGAACCAGGGAGGGGGAGGCCCGGCAAGCGAAGGGCTGCGCCAGCCGCCGGCGCGTCGCGGGTCAGGCCGGCGCAGAATGATGACATAAACCCTCCGCCCCTCCTTTCCGAAGATTTGAGTGAGAGTCGAGCGAGGGCGAAGGGCTACCGTATGTCATCTAAGAGAGGGACGTTTGTTTTAGGTGTTAACAGCGCAATCTAGAGCCCTAGAGCCCAGGGTGTTCCAGAGGTCTTTAGCCTTGAGTGTGCTTGCACGTTGTTGGTGGAAAAACTATGCGTTTGAGACGAATAAATATTTACTGAGTATCCACAGTTTGCCAGGCACGTTTATGTGATGGGGATACAATAGTGAACTAAACAAAGGCCCTGCCCCATGGAGCTTACATTCTAGAATGTGTAGGGAATGGGGAGACATTTAGTAAACAGATACATTCAGATAGTGACAAACACTAAGAAGGAAAATAGAGGGTAAGGGATCTTATTTTAAATAGCTTGATAAAAGAACTCTCCCAGAAGCTCTTTTTCACAGGTACCTGAATCCAGGGGAGAGACTGTGACTATCTGAGAAGTGACTATCTGGAGGAAGGTGGGCCAAGACAGAAGGAACAGGCAAATACAAAAGCTTGGAAATGAGAATTTTCATGATGACTTATTCCAGGGTCAAGAAAGAGAGGGAGCATAAAGGAGTCCACTGTAGAGTGCAATCCAGATCTATTAGGATCCAGTTCTTTCCAGGTTAGCACTCCAGTGAAAGCAATCTTGTCAAGGTTACCAGTGGTCTCCATATTGTCAAATCCATTGGTCATTTCTTAGTCCTTATATTATTGGGCCTTTCACATAGGATTTGGCAAGAGGCTACTACAATAAGCCAGGTGAGAGTTAGGAGGCTACTGTTATAATACAGATAAGAATTGGAGAACTTGGAGAAGTGTGATGGTGGAGGTGGTGAGAAGTCATCAAATTTTGAAGACACAGAATTATTTTTCCTGATTCAATAGTTGGGGGATGTGAGAGACAGAGAGGACTCAAGAATGATTCTAGCATTTTTGGTTTCAGGAACTGGAAGAACAGAATTTCCATGTACTAAAACTGGGAAATAGGGAAGACTATGAAAGTATTAAGTTTGTTAGGAAGAATAGTGTATATTCGACTTAGGGCATGTTAAATTTGTGATGCCTTTTGGAACCAAGTGGACATGTAGATTAGAAGTTGTAAGCTAGGCATGGTGGGCCATGCTTGTAATCCCAGTGGTTTGGTAGGCTGAAGCATGAAGATCACAGGTTTGAAGCCAGCCTCAGCAACTTAGCAAGACTGCAAGCAATCTAGTGAGACCCTGTCTCAAAAAGTTAAAAAATAAAAAGGGCTGGTGGTGGTGGGCTGGGGTTGTGGCTCAGCGGTAGAGCACTTTCCTAGCATGTGTGAGGCACTGGGTTCGATCCCTGGCACCACATAAAAATAAACAACAAAAAACCTCATTTAAAAAAAGGGGGCTGAGGATATAGCTCTTGGTAGAGTGTTTGCCTTGCATGCACAAGGCTCTGTGTTCAATCCCCAGCACCACACTCACACACACACCCCCCAAAAATAAATGAATTATTGGGCTGGGGTTGTGGATCAGTGGTAGAGTGCTTGCTTAGCATGTGTGAGGCACTGGGTTCGAATCTCAGCACCACATAAAAGTAAATAAAGGTCCATCAACAACTAAAAAATATTTTTTAAAAAGGGCTGGGGATGTGGCTGAGTGGTTAAACATCCCTGGGTTCAATCCCCCCTCCCCAGATTATACATATGTATAGGGGAAAAGTTGGAGGGCTGAGAATGTAGCTCTGTGGTTGAGTGCAAGTGTAAGACCCTGGGTTCCATCCCCAACACTGGGGATTGGGGTGGGGGAACAAAAAGTCAGGGGCTAAGGTGTAGCCCAGTGGTAAAGCCCTTGTCTAGCATGCATGAGGCCCTGGTTGTGATTCCCAGTACCACAAGAAGTGTGGGTGTGTGTGGGGGGGCGGTGAGTCGTGAAGCTAAAAATCTAATTTAAAGCTATAGGACCCAATGCACCAAGAAAATGAATCAGGATAGGGAAAAGTTGAATCTGATTCTGAGCCCTGTAATACCCCAGTGTTTAGAGGTCTGGAACAGGACACTCGGGACAGGAGAATGTGAAGAAGTGACTTATGTGGTAAGAACATGAGTTATCTCAAAAGCCACGTGAAGCAACCATTTCAAGACTGCAAACCCTTATGATTCCTGATGATAAAGAAATCAACTTCTTCTTTAAAAGACAGCCCAATAATACAGACAGAAAGCTAAGATCTCTATACATTGATAGGTCCCTAATGTGTTAATGGATAAATACTGGGGCCCCTTTCAAACAGCCTCTCTGAGGTTTGTTGACCTAAGATTATAATGTCTGTCTTCCCTTTCCTGTTGAGTATCATGAGGTCCCCTCTTCCCTTTCCTGAGTGCCATGAGACCCACTTCTGTTGATCACAAAGTACTTCAGTCTGTGAAGAGGGTACTCAAGTGGAATAAAAATCTGTAATTTCAGTGTGTTAAGGAACTGGATTGTGATTACCCAGCTTCTGGCTGGTGAGCCCTACCCTCCTTTCCTGCAAAGCATATAAAGCAGGAAAGTTTTATTTAAATTTCAAATCTGCAGTCAGTTCTTGAGCTTAGTTGTCAAGGATCTGGATCAGCAAGGGTCTGGAGGCGCGGCTGAGTGTGCTGTGGTTGAGTGCAGTTGTGCATTATTTTCCATTCTTCTTCCTCTGCTGCTGGGCTTAAGTGTTTCTGGTCCTTATATGTAGATTTTTTTTTTATCCCCCTGGCAACCCAGGGATGCTCTACCACTACACTAACCCTAGCCATTTTTAAAATTTTTGAGACAGGGTCTTGCTAAGTTGCCCAGGCTGACCTCAAACTTTCGGGGTGGGTGACCACCTCAGCCTCCTGAATGGTTTGGATTTCAGGGGTGCACCACCATGTCTGGCTTGTTCTGTAGATTTTGTTTAAAAATGAAACTGGTGTGTGAAGGTGACCTGAAATCGTACTTTCTTCTAATGGTTATTGAAATCAAGATATCATGACTTTGATCTAAGGGGAAAATCTGGCAACTTCTTCCTGATCAGCTGGGATCATAGCATCTATGGGAGAAGGAAGCTGAGCAAGAGAGACCAAAGTCCTCAATTGCTGCCTTCACCGATATCTAGAATTCACTGGAAAAGTGAATCTTACAGAGAATTCAGCATGCCCTCATTTTGCCCCCAGGCCTGAACCCACCCTTGTGGTAGGTGACCATCAGCCTTCAGATTTCCGTCCTCTGAGGATACTCAGAATTCACAATCTCATGGTAAAATGCTTCTCTCCCCAACAGTATCTTCCCCAACTCTACCAAGATGCATCTCACCTCTCACCTATCTGTCTGCCTGTCCTCCTTAATTATCTTTTCCATCTGTTCAAATCCAACTCATTCTCTAGGGCTCAGCTTAAATCCTCTGTGAGAGAGAGGATTAATTTAATAGTATCATATGTCTACACTGGAAGCCAGGTCCTGTGCAGAAATTTAGGGAATCAGAAATACACCACAAATAGGGACAGAATCTGGCAGTTTATAGACCTGCAGCTTGGCCTAATAAGGGAGACAGGTATTAAAAGAATAACAGAGGAAAAAAAAATAACAGGACAGTGTGGTAAGTACAATGATGGGATTGTTTGTAAACTCCAGGTGGCTAGAAGTGGGAGTTGTTAGTTGTGTGTGGGGGACCGGGAGGTTTTCTGCCAGGAGCTGACTGACGTCTAAGCCAAGGTGTGAAAGGGCCTTCTCCAACCAGGCATGCAAGCCTGTAATCCCAGTAGCTTGGGAAGCTGAGGCAGGAGGATCAGGAGTTCAAAGCCAGCCTCAGTAACTTTTTTTGAGGACCTAAGCAATTTAGCAAGACCCTGTCTCTAAATAAAATATCAAATGGCTGGGGATGTGGCTCAGTGGTTATGTGCCCCTGGGTTCAAGAAAAACAACAAAAAAATAAGGGCCTTCTCCAGAAACAAGTCCTGCTTTCAGTTCCCATAGCATTTAAGCTTGGACCCGCCATGGACACCACCTTCACTGCCCTGTGCAGTCTGTGTCCTTCGCTTTTGAGTCTGTTACACCCCTAATGTCCAGCTAAAACAAGGGGGAGGGCCTCAGCAAGGACCTGGTACCTCACAGGGCTCAACACTTGTAAAATCAATAGAATAAGTGAAACGCAGAGGCAGATTTTTCTCCCATAAAACTTTTATGCAGGCCTTCCCTGGGCTAGCCAGAGGGGTATATTCCTTCCTGCAGCTTCAGGAAGAATTGCCAAGGCAGAGGAATGTGCCCCACTTCCTGTCCTTTGCTCTCAGGCTTGCTGCTCTTCGGTGCCCACTGCTGCCTCTAAATGTGACCCACCACTAAGGCCTCTTTTAGAAACTGTAGGCTCCAGAATCTTTCCCTCGACACCCTTATATTAAACAATGGTATCGACTAGAGATGGTGGAGGAAAGGGGGTGATGCACATGTAAACTGTGGAAATGGGGTGTAAACCTGGGCCCTGCATGGACTGGGTGTTCTACTTTCTGTCAGGCAATAGTGGTTCCTGGGTGGTGCAACTAGAAGAACAGAAACTGCCACAGAATGTCTCATAAAAAACAAAACAAACTGGATTTGGTGGCACCCATTTGTAATTCCATCAACCCTGGAGGCTGAGGCAGGAGGATGGCAAGTTTGAGGCCAGTCAACTTAGCAAGACCTGTCTCAAAAATAAAAAAATAAAAATATAAAAGAACTAGGGACATGACTCAGCAGAACATCCCTGGGTTCAGTCCCCAGTACTGGGGGCGGGGGGAAGCACTATGCTGTAATGGTGTGATATTCCCCCAAGTCTCCCCCATGGTGCCTGCCTCAACTCCCTCCTGAAGGCAAGCCACAGAGACTAGCATTTCTCTTTTCCAGGATGGGTCATAAAAACACAGGTAATTGGCATTTGAAAGATAGATAGAGGACTGTCTTGCTGAGCCCTCAACCTCTGGGATCTGACCCTATCTCCAGGTAGACAGTGCTGAACTGAATTAGAGGATTCCCAGTTGGTCTCTTTTGCAGAACTGATGGCTTCCATTGCTGGTGGGGAGAAATTCCCATGTCTTTTGAGGCCACAGAAGTTTTCTTTTTTTGTGAACGTATAGTAGGAGAAAGTGAGTTTGTGTTGGTTTTTCTTCTATATCCACTGCATCATCCTCTAAATGGAATACCTGCAGCTATGGGAAGGAGATTTCAACATATGAACCTTTTTAATGGAAGTGTCATTTTGGAGCCATGTGAACGTTTACCTATTAAAACAACCACAAGCCAAACCTAAACCTCACATTGAAGATGATGAAAATAATTCACTGAGCGTACAAATTACTAGCTAGTCGTGATGGCACATGCCTGTAATCCCAGCTACTGGGGAAGCTAAAGCAGGAGAATAGCAAGTTCAAAGCTGGCCTGGACAACTTAGGGAGGTCTTTTATCAAATAAAAATAAGAAAAGGCTGTGGACGTAGCCCAGTGGTAGAGTGGTCCTTGGTTCAATCTCCAGTACCACAAAACCAAAACCCAAACCCAAACCCAAACCCCCAAGCCTCCCTTCCCTGTAGTCCAGTGAGGCCCTGCACTGAGCCTTCTTGCCAGCAGATGGCACTTGAAGCCTACAAACTAAGCCACTCTGCTTCCTTCCCTTTTGAGTTTCTGGGGCGCACAGATCCCCCCACAGGCATGGGCTGCCCTAAAGCTAGCAGGAGTGCTGCAGCCCTGGGACCTGGCTTAGGGCTCCCAGCAATCTTCCTTGTCTGGAACTCTAGGTACTGGCTGGATCTCTCCTTTTTCATAAGCGTCCAAAACAATTCCAGAACCTATTCTCCAACCAGAGCTAAAACCAGGAAGGGCACCAAAAGCCATTAAGATAACCATTTTATAAGATCGCACACATTCTTAGGATTCCCTTTCCTTAGTAACAAACTGCATGTTCTCCCTCCTGGTCTTGGTGGATACTGAGCCCAAGGCTGAGGAAACCCAGCAGCCTGGGTCCTCGCTGAGTTGCTTCCTTCCCAGAAGCCTTCCAGAGAGAACTGGACTGAGTTATGTCTTATAGAGAAGTGAACAGCAGCTTTCAGCCCAAGTCGAGGATGGCTGTTGCGGAGAGGCGTTTGAGGCACTGCTAATGTCATTTATCTAAGAGTTATTTTGGTCTGAACTTTGTGGGTGACAATCTCACAAAAATGACCTAGAACCAAGGAGGGCTTCTTAAGGAGGGGACAATTTGAGCTAAGTCTTGAAGGAGGGGAGAAGGTTATTTTTAAGTAAGTCTAAGAAACAATTTGAATAAGAAGCACAAAATCAGCTTTACGTGTTGTCAAATGCTCCCTAGCCTGCCACATGCTACCTCGCCCACCCATGGCCTGCCATGGAGGACTCGGACTTCTGGGTACTTAGCTTGTACTTCTCTCCTGCTTTTAGTTTTTTTTCTTGTTTAGTTTTGGTTCTGGGGATTGAACCTAGGGGCATTTTATCAGTGAGCTACATCCCCAGCCTTTCTTATTTTTTTGAGATACGGTCTTATTAAGTTGCTGAGGCTGGTCTTAAACTTGAGATCCTCCTGTGTCAGTTTCCTAAATTGCTGGGATTACAGGTGTGGACCACCACACCTAGATCTTCTGCACATTTAACTTCTGTGTGGTTGTCACCTCTTCCTGGATACCACATCTCTTCCTCAGGCAATCTTAGGAGCTGAAGGATTCAGCTGGAATTGCATGACCGAATAGGTGCCCTTGATCCTGGGTTTTAAGATGTTGCAGGTGGGATCCTTACTTTACCTGCCAGGCTCTGGCTTTAAGCTTCAGAGCACTCAGACCAAGCAACAGATCTTTCTTTGTGGGGAATGAGTGTCCCATGGAAGCTGTAAATGGGACAGCTTCAGGCTGGAGGAGGGAGGATGGGGGAGAGTAATTTCAAGATTCTGGGGTCATTTTAAGAAATGCTCATATTTCACTGATGCCTCAGGCCCAGGGCAATGAGCAAGGCAAGGCTTACATGTGGACACCAGGGACAGCCCATGAGAGGAGAGGGCGGAAGATAAATGAGGTAGGACAGCAGCAGGCTCCTTGGAGAAAGAATCTAATCTCCCAGAAAGGATGTTAGAAATGAGGTTGCTAAATTGTTTTGGGCAAAGTCCTGGGCCTGAGAGTTCCTTGTGGAGTCATAGGTACAGATGGAAGCCTCTGCTCTGCCCTGGCTGGTGGGCATTCCTACCTGCACTCAGAGCCAGAGCACGCGGCTTCCGGTGTGGTGATTCTATTGGATCGGCCATGCAGGAAGCACGACTGGGGGGCTGCGAGAATTCTGGAGCAGAGGCTTTCAGACTGGGAAGGAACCTTACAGCACATTTAGCTTAACCTACCTATCATTTAACAGATGAGGGAACAGATGGGAGATGATCTGCTCAACACCACATGGAGTGGCAGAGATGGGTTCATCACACAACACTGGTTGCTATGGATCTTAAAATGTAGGTCCACCATATCAGATGACTCCTCACATGTTCCACAGCCTCTCTTAGTTTTTTTATCATGGAGGATGAATAATCAAAGGCTGTGGCTTAAAATGAAAAGTTAGCCAAACTGGGGGGGACAGTGTTATCACAAACTCCAAACATCCTCATTTTTTGTCTGTGCCTCAAGTTGCCTTAAATCAGACTCTGGTAGGAAGAAAGCAGGTCTGTTACTAGTGAAACCCAGTGGAAATGTAAAAGGAAAAGGGCCCAGAAGATCCTAAAATAAAGGAGACAGCAGACACTGGGGATGGTCATTGCAAACTGTTATAATTAAGGTGACATTTTATGAGTGTTAAAGACAGAGGGCAGACAGGCTCTGCAGCAGGCCCTGGTTTTGGAGGCCCATTCTGGAGAGGAGATGGCACCTGCAGGGAACAGAACTCAATCACTGCTGTTGATGAAGCACAGAGTCACATCTTAGGGATCTGAGAGGAAAAGGAGGAGTGGAGAGTGTCATGAAGCAATTACTCTAAATTCCGAATCCTTCTGTGCTGCCACTGAGCACATGGACTTCCTGGACAGGCCTCAGTGTCACACAGTGTCTGATATAGATCCTTCCTTTGGCCCAGGCTATCCACCAGCTCAGGATGCCCAGGTCATCTTCATAAGTATTCATCACAAACTTCCTTTTGCCTCCCATAGATTTTCCTAATTTGCATCTCCCCTGCCCCCAATTTTTTTTAGTTGTTGATGGATCTTTGTCTTTATGCGGTGCTAAGAAATGAACTCAGTGCCTCACACATGCTAGGCAGGTGGTCTCCCACTGAGCTATGAGCCCAGCCCCTAACTTGCATCTTAAAAGTATCAACAGGAGGAAGAACTGGGAATGTTCTTGTTAATATAAACCCACAGCAAAAATGATTAAGAGCTGGATGCTTCCCAGGGCTGGCAGGTGTGTCAAGACGGTTCCCTGCATTCTTAATCTGTAAGGTGCTTGGATGGGTGCTGTTGGAGAAGCTAAGGTCTGAGCTTTTAAGACTTGTTCATGTTTTTGAGAATGGACAGGAATAATCACTGGGAATACTCAGAGAGCCTAGCGGAACACTGGGACAGGGGAGGGTGAGGAGAGGAAGTTGGCCGCATCCTGAGGTCACTTGCAGGAGGAAGGGAGCACTACTCCCAGAAGCAGCAGCACAAAGGGCTATGTTGAGGCTTGGCTTTAGGGGCCTAGGTTGCTTGGGTGCAGAAGGTGGCCCCTCTTGTAGTTCTGGGTTACTACTTGGGCAAAGCAAAGTCCCAGGCAGTTTCCTGTGCACATTTCCACATGGCCTGCATAAGGCGGGTGAAGCCCATGTCCTTGGGCTTCTCCAGGCCTCTCATCAATCGCTGCTTCATGATGGAAACAAATTCCTTATTGCTCAGCTCACCATTACCTAGAAGAAGAAGCAAATATAACAGTATAAGTGGAGGCCTTGGAACAAAGCCACTGAGAAAATTCTACTGTTTGCACACCATGTGGTTCCAAAGCCCAGTGTGTCTCACAGCCAAATTCAGTTCTCAGGGCTTAGGATGAACTCGTTTGCTCCTCCCTTGATGTTTCCTACTACAATTCAGTGTTAGTTCGATGTAGTGTGACAAATTCCAAATGAGAATATAGTATATGCCAGGTAATAAGCTTTGTGCTTTGTCCCCTTGAAATACTCCCAAGTCATAGAAGAGACAGATAAATGTCAACAGTGTGGCAAATGTTCTCATGAAGTAGACAGGACTAAGGGGCACAGAGGAAGCAGTGTGGCTGCTGGAGAACCACAGTAGTAAGGTATTGCTGGACAGAGGTGGGGGATGGCAAGTAAACTCAAGAGGAAGGCAAGAGACAGGTCCCCAGGGTCTTTATTCTTGCCTCTGTCTTTGCTTAGGCTAATTCCCCACCTGGAAAGCTTCTGAATCTCACTCTCCTTTACCTGGCCAATTCCTGCTCATCCTTTGTGATTTCACTCAGGGGACAATTCCAGGAAACCTTTACTGATCTGTGTTTGCACTACCCATAGCAGGCCTAGATATTCTTCCTCTATTTGTCTTTATTCTCAACACCTGGCACAGGACCCGACGTACACCATACTCCATCTTCTTTCTGGAGTTGAAATACTGGAGTGCTCTTTATCCACTATGCAGTAAGTTGGGTCTAATATTTTTGTTTTCATTTGTGTGTGTGTGTGTGTGTGTGTAAGGGTGGGAGTACAGGGTATCCTCTACCATTGAACTACATCCCCTGCCCATTTTATTTTTTATTTTGAGATAGGGTCTTGCTAAGGCTGAGGCTGGCCTTGAACTTGCAATCCTTCACAAACCCAAGTAGCTGGGATTACAGGATGTCGCTGTGCTTGGCTGAATTTTTTTTTTTTTTAAGAAAATTACATTTATTAGGAGTGCAATCCAGGAAAACAGATTCAAGCAATTTTGAAAATGTGCTCCCTGTATAAGATCCTTATGGTTATAAATTGAAGCCTGCAGGCAAACTGGAATTATAGGAAGAAATGGAAAGCACATACCAGGGCCAGGGATTATATTTTTTGATCTGACGACACTGAGGGATGAGCTATGGAAGAGGGATGGATTCACAATGTCCAGAAGGGCATGAGGCTCACTGCTCCTGACCCCAGTGGGTCCCACTCACCATCACAGTCAAAGAGTGCAAACACCACATCACACACATGGTCTGAGAGTTCCACTTTAGCCACTGTCCTGGCCACTTGTTGCATGGTCACTGAAAGAGGAAAGATGCAAAATCAGCACAGCAGAGGGGCTTCCATTTTGCTTTCTCAAACTGCTCAAAAATTTTTGACTGTATTTAAGTCATATTTAAGAAAATGAAAATTTAGCTTTTAACCTATAACTTTAACTCCCTTTCCTTTTCACCTCAGGTGAAATATTATTAAATTCATAGAGACTGAAAGTAGATTACCAGGGGCCAAGGAGCTTGGAGGGTTAAACTGTGTTTAAATGGGCACAGATTTTGTTTGGGATGATGGAAATGTTTTAGAAATAGTGGTGACAGTTGCATGACACTGTGAATATGATTAATGCCATTGACTTGTATTTTAAAATGCTATTAAAATACATCACTTTAAACAATAACTTTAAAAAAGTGAAAATTCACATAATATTTAAAGATGGGATTCTAACAGCCTAAAGCAAGCCATGGCAACTTTTCTAATAAATTATCATCAGAAGAGTTTCTCAAAGCCACACCTGATATTGTATTAGTCTCCTTGCATTTCCCTCCTACTGGAAAAAACATGACAGCAAGAAGTCAAGTAAATAACCAGGCAGCAAGAGGAAGGGGAGGCGAGAACAAGGATGCTGATCTGCTGTGTGAGCATCAGAAAGCTTCACGCTTCGGTTACTGACAGACAGCAGAGTGAGCTCCTTGCCCTGCTAGATCCCTCTTCCCTACTGGTTCTGCATCAGTCACTGTCGTCTTCCAACAGTGCCCCTTGGGAGAAGCAGTGGCCCTGTCTCACTGAATCAGTATTCAGCTTAAAAAAATATACACAAACACACTTTTTTTTTTTCTTTTCGGCTTGGGTAGAAAATCTCTTTTAGCTTTCTATTTTTTCTTGCTCGGACATTTACTGTTAAATACTAGCAATCACGTAAGAATGGGGTTCTCATGAAACACAAGCCTGGAAGGACAAGGAAGTTTCCAGTCTTCTCTCTCAGATATCCTCAAACTTGGTCTATCTACACCTACAAATTATGTTCTTGCTTACAGACCCACTCCTTGGCTTTTTCCCCTTCCTGCAGTGCTGGGGATGGAACCCAGTGCTTTGCACATGCCAGGCAATCTCTCCACTACTGAGCTACACCCTAGCCTTACAGATATACTCTTAAAAAAATTTTTTTTTAGTTGTAGATGAACACAAAATTTATATATTTTTTATGTGGTGCCAAGCATTGAACCCAGTGCCTCAATGTGCCAGGCAAGTGCTCTATCACTGAGCTACAACCTCAGCCCCCTAGACATACTCTTAAGTGAAGTAGTACATGCTGGAAAGAAAAGAATTGATTTCTATTTATGAATCAACCAGCAATGAAGTGTTCTCTATAAGCATCAGATTAGATTAATCCAGAAGCAATGTAAATTTAAACAAGCTCAGTGTGCCTTCTTTGCTTATTTGCTTCCTATAATTTAGTTCCCGTTACCAGCCTGTGTTGCCTTTTATTTCTCACTTCACATTCATCACCTCCATGCATTCACCACAGTGCCCCCAGGGTCAGCACAGCAGTGGGAAGGAGCAAGGCTTGGTTCCATTGTCACCTTGCTATATGACCCTGATGGAGTCATTTGATTTCTTAAGACTTCATTTTCTTATATTCAAATAAGGGATGCCACAAGATAACTTCTGAGGTGAGAGAATAGTTTACTGGTGTTTTCAGGAGTGAGGGTTTGGTGGAGGTGCCCAGAAAGAGCTGAATCTTGAATTGGTAAATGGTAGAGAAAAGAAGACTAGGCTGTTCAGGAGGACAGGAGGAGCTTGTTTCCTCTTTCTGTACCTTTGGGTTCTCCATTTCTCTGAAGATGCAAGTTAAAGTGAGGGAGGAATCAATAGCCCTGGAACTAAAAGACTTAGGTGGAAGAGACTGTGGTGGATTTTCATGAATGCATCCTGGGGAATCAACAAGACCACAGAGTTCTAAGGGTTAGAAATTTAGCTCTGCAATTTTAGATACTTGATTTGGCTCAGGAAGAACTGATTCTTGCTAACTACACTTCCCAGAGAAGAGACTAGCAATTTTTAAAAGAATTAAAATGGTGACAGCTGGTCATTACACTTCTCAGTAGAAAAATTTATTAAGGAAACTGAGTTCACCTCAGAAGAGTGCTTAGTGATTTCAAACTGTGATCACCTACTGAATCCCCCTCCACTGCCACAGAAGTGTGCCCTGAGGAGGGGATCTGTGCTTTTTGTTAACCATTTCTCTTTCTGCATGTCACATCTCACACTTTTTTTCCTTTGGTGGTACTGGAGTTTTAACCCATGGATACTTTCACTGAACTACATCCCCAGCGTTTTTTGAGACAAGGTCTCACTAATGCCCAGGTGGGCCTTGAACTTGTGATCCTCCTGCCTCAGCTTCCTGAGTCAATACTGGGATTATAGGTGTGTGCCACCATATCTGGATCAGTCTCACAGGTTTAATAGCTATAACCAATGACGATCTTCCTTTTCTCCTACTCACTTACTTCTTCACCTCTCTCAGGACAGAGTGCCTGAGGGTGACTGTCTCGACATTGCAAGACTCCTTCCCATAGACATGGAGAGCCTCCCTGTAAATAAGCTATTAAATAATATTCAAGGATATCAGTAAAAGTGCTTGACAGTTTGTAGTGAAAAATTCATTAAACTGGTATTAAGAGGTTGTAGAACAGGGACCTCTGGCGGCTGCAGCCACATCACCAATGACCTGTGTTCACAGAAGAACTACAGATTATGTTCCATCTCACAAAGAGGGCGCTGGCGTCCTTCGTACTCTAGGAGGAAAAACCAGGGCTGCCAAGTCATTGTGACTCAAACCACAGAGATGGAACTGGCCAGGGAACAGCCCAACTGGGGTGCCCTTTGGCAGTCCAAGATCCTTAAGATAGGCCCCTGGGGTGTGAATCAGCAGGAGGAAACCAACTCACTAGCTGGTGAGCTGTCAAACTGGGAGCCCTTGGGACAAGTGGGATGACAGCAGATTACAAGGCAAGAGCTTGACAGCTGGTCCTGAGAATTGGCTCATTCATACTGCTTCCAATATCTCTGAATCACAAAGCCATAATTAGATCACAGCAAGCAGAACAATCCCTTCCTCAGATCTTATCTTCCTTGTGCAGACCAGTTGTAGGGTCCTGGAATTTTGGCCTCCCCTGTTGGTGGCTGTGATACTGTGAAATATATATCTGGTATTCTTCCCTATTTCCTGACATAAAACTGAAAATGCCTGGACTCTCCAAAGTGGTCTATCTTTTTGTATGGTAACGAGATGACTGGGGGCTGAAAGCCCCTATGTGGCTTCAGCATGGTACAGTTGGTCACAGGAAAGATCAAGGCCCGATTAGGAGGTTGGGACTTTTCCACTCCGCTCTCCAACCTCTGGGGAGGAAAGAGAGGCTGAAAGCTGAGTTGGTCACCAATGGCCAACTACTCAATCAATCATGCTGATGTAATGAAGTTAAAAATCACTAAAGCATAAGGTTCAGAGTATTCAAATTGCTGAAAGCGGAAAGGTTCATGGAGGATGGTAACCCTAGAAAAGCCATGACAGCTCTATGTTCCTTCTCCCAAACCTCTCTTGTACATCTCTTCACCTGTATAGTTTGAAATGTCCTTTATAATAAAGTAGTAAACACATTTCCCTGAGTCCTGTGAGATGTTCTTGCAAATTAACCCTAAGGAGATGGACATGAGAACTCATTTTGTATCTGGTCAGTCAGGAGCACAGGTCAAACAATCTGGGGCTTGCAACTGACATCTGAAAGCAGGGGACAGTCCTGGAAGTCTGAGCTCTCAACCTGTGGCATCTGATGCTATCTCCAGATGTGCAGCATCAGGATTAAACTGAATTAGAGGACACCCTGATGCTTTCTGCTACAAAATGGATTGCTTACTTTCTGGTGGGGAGAAATCCACACATTCTGAGATCACAGGAGCCTTCTGCATTGCTCACTGTAGTGTGAGAGCAGAGGAAACACTGTTCTTCCTACAGAGTTGAGGCCAATTGATTGATGGTTGAAATTCCAGTTCGTAATCTGAAAGATGTCCACATGGAGAATGAAGGCACCATGAAAAAAAGAAATCCTAGGTTTCCAAAGACTATGTATTCCTTTTGTACAAATCTGCCCAGGTGCCCTACAAGAGGCATGACATGAGATTTAGTGATTTCTATTAGATTGAGGTTGAGCAATGGGTTTGTAGAAGCTGGCTCATTTGGCACTCAAAAATCTGGGACCATCTGTTTTTTTTTTGTTACTGGGGATTGAACCCAGAGGTGCTTAACCACTTAGCCACATCCCCAGCCCTTTTAAAATATTTTATATCAAGACAGGGGTTTACTGTTTCTTAGGACCTTGCTAAGATGCTAAGACTGGCTTTGAACTCTCAATCCTCTTGCCTCAGCCTCCTGAGCCATTGAGATTACAGGTGTGCAGCACTGTGCCCAACAATGGCTGGCCTGCCTTCCTTCTTTCCTTCCTTCCTTGCTACCTTCCTCCCTCCCTTCCTTGGTACTGGGGAGTGAATTAAGGAGTGAGTGTTCTACCCCTAAGCTACATTGCCAGTCTTTTTATTTTTCACTCTGAGCTAGGGTCTCAGTAAGTTGCCCAGGCTGGTCTTAGACTTGTGATCTTTCTTCTGTCTCAGCCTCCTGAGTAGCTGTGATTGTAAGAATGGACCACTGTGCCTAGCACCACCTGTTTTTTTGAAAAGCTCATGCAGAATCTGAGTTGTGCCAGGTCCTCAATTTACTCTCTGGTATGGTTCATGACTGTATAAACAATAGAAAGAAAGCCATGCTGGTTTGTGTAATATATCAGAAAGTATATTACATAAAACTCATCACCACATAGTTGAGCAAGTGAGTTCTGGAGTGACAGGAGACCAAATGGCCACTTAGAATCAGATAATCTTAGAAGCAAAGAGAACCCAGAAAAATCCAGGATTTTTAATAACTTGCCCAAGGTCACAAAGCTAGTAGATAATGGCGCTGGATCTAAAGTTAAGC